CTTGGGATTACATTGTTGAAAATCTTGGTATATAAATCTTTTCAGCTCTGTTTAGGGGTCTTCCCTTAAGACAAATTCTCAAAGTGTACATCTCCCAAAGTGGGGTGCGTGCGAGCGTGCATGTGTGTGTGTATGTGTGTGTGTGTGTGTGTGTGTGTGTGTGTGTGTGTGCATGTGGAGGCCAGAGGTCAGCATTAGATATCTTCCTCAACTGCACTGACTCATTCTTTAGACTTATTGAGTACATAGGAGCATCTCCTAAAACCTTGAACACTTAGAAAATATACTGTTCCTTGGAAACTTTGGCTCCTTGTCATCTCATACCTGAGGATGTTGACCTCGCAGGATTTCCCGTGTTCCGACACTAGAAACCTACCTGAAGTATTGCCTGCAGAGCTGAAGTCATGCAGACTTCCCCACACGTTATATTTCAGGGGCTTTGGCACAAATGAAGCATCTTGTTAACGAAAGAGCCCAGAGGTTGTACAACGGTTGCTCCTAATAGAACACCTGAGCCTCTGAGGCAGGGATGAATGAGCACCAAGTCTTAAGGGCATGCTCAGTGGTAGCTACCAGGACATATGTTTTATGAGTAGCCAGAGGATAGCCAGACTCCAGGGTCATCTTTCTGGAAAGAAGCAGGAAGCACTTGGGGCTGGTGATCGTCTTCTCAGATGACTTTCATCATGGGGGAGCCTAGCCATAGAGCCAGGAGTCATGCCCTCCAATCTGGACTTCACTGGGGACTGACTGTATGACCTTACACTTTCGAACCTAGATTTTTCTTATCTGAAAACTGGGAAGAATAATAAGAGAGTTTTATTCCTGCCTCCTCTCCTTAGGTTTCCAATCTGTTCATGTCCTTCTTCTATAGCACATTCTTTATTCTGCCTTGTGTTTTGGGGAATAGCCTTGGTAACTTTTCAAGGGCAGGAATCCAGCCCTCACTGTCCCTGTAGCCCTCGAAGCCAGTCACAACACCTGCCTGCAATGAGTTTGTCCTCTGGGGCCCAAGCAGAAGGCAGAAAGCACAGTTATTTGAACAGGAGGAACGTAATATCTGGTAGAAGCAGCTACCACGATGGGACAAGAACATAAAGGTTACTGTAGAGCTGAGAAAGAAATACCTGGGGAAGGACAAACTTTGAAGGGCCTCTCTCCATGGCTAAGGTGCCAGATGCTGACACCCCTGGAGAAGGTGTGGCTGTCACCCCCAAGATGGCAGAGGAGTTCCCCAGCTGGGTGCCAGGCACTGAACAACAGAAAGTCTTCTGGGACACGGGCAAGGTGAGGGTAGAGACCAGGTGAGCCAAGGGAGTTGGGACACACTGCCAATGCAAGGCTGAAATGCACACAGTGCCTGCATCAGGAGGGCCAGAGCAAAGTGGTTCCTGGGCCCACTGCCAGGGCTGCAAGGTCATTGAGTAACTGCCCTCCAGGCACACAGCAAGGCAGAACAACATCTCTTCCCACAGACTGTACATACACCCTCCAGGATCCAAGCCTGAGGAGGCGAACCTTTTCCCCAATAATGTCCCTAGATTGCCCCCTATTGACAATGCTTTGGTAGTGCATGCTCTAGAGGGGAAATGCTCACAGGGTCCTATCCTTAGAAGCAATAACGTGATCCGTCAGTGATTTTTTTCTGAAGTTCTATTTGCAGTCGGGGAAATGGTTCAGTCAATAAAGTGCTTTCCACACAAGCAAGAGGACCGGAGTTTACATCCCCCAGCCCCCCCATAAAAGCCAGGTGTGATGGCACCCATGTGTAATCCCAGCATTTTGGGTGGGGGTGGCAGAGACAGGAGGATCCCTGGAGCTCACTGGCCAGCCAAAAGCCAAATGGATGAGATCCAGGTTCAATGAGAGACCCTGCCTCAGAAGATGAGGCTGAAGGGCTGAGGAGATAGCTCAGCAGGGAAAAGCACCTGCCTGCATGAGGACCTGGGTTAAACCCCCAGCACCTAAGTCATTAGGCAGGCATGACCATGTGCTCCTGTAACTCCCGCTGTGAGGGGGCCTGGAGACAGGAGGATCGCCAGAGCTTGCAGGCCACCAGCCTAGCGCCAGGATCAGTGAGAGACCCTGTCTGAAGGGAATAAGGCCAAGAGTGATAGAGCTGGACACGTGACATCCTCCACAACATATGCATACCCTCACAGCACACACACACACACACACACACACACACACACACACACACACACATGCGCGCGCTACCTTAATTAATCTTTAAAAAATATAAAGTTGATAATGAAAGAAGACATCTGATATAAATCTCCAACTCTCTCTCTGTCTCTCCCTGTGTGTGTATGTGTGAGATGTGACATTGTATAATTAATGACTTAAAGTCACACAGCTTGCCAATGGCTCTCCAACACCTGCCTACTTCCCTTTCTTTGAATACCATACATTACACCAATAAATGTCAAACCTCTTTGCGTCTTCTGTAATTTACTATCTAGAAAGCCCCATCCCCTCAGGAGTTCTGTTCTGTCTTCCTTCTCCTCTTGGCTTACACTTGAGAAAGAGTGAGAGACCAACTCTGATTCCCACAATCCTTCATTTCACAATTGATTTCTCCACTCAGCCCCGAATGGTTTGCCCGCTGTCTGTTTCGTTACAAGGCAATCCACCGGCCCATCCCAGACAGTAGGCGTGTCCAGAAGCACAGGACTTCAAGGGGCACTGGCAGGAACCTGGGTTAACCTAAAATCCAAGCTTTCTGCACCTTTGAGGAATTGCCACAGGCTGGAGGTTCGTGTTGCCTGACCAGTCAGGCTCTAAACCTGCCAGAAGAGTAAGGCAGTTGGATGGCTCATTGGGTGAGATGGTTACTGATCCCCAGCACCAACATAAAAAGTATAGCTGGAGTTTTCCTGTGTCCCGCCCAGTCTGCAGCCACTCAGATCCAAGTAAACACACAGAGGCTTATATTAATTAAAACTGCTTGGCCATTAGCTCAGGCTAACTACTGACTAGCTCTTACTCTTAAACTCAGCCCAGTTTTGTTCATCTATATATTGCCACGTGTTCCATGGTTTTACCTGTGTGCCATTACATGCTGCTCCCTGGACTGTGGGCTGGCATCTCTCACTCAGCCTTCCTCTTCCCAGAATTCTCCTTGTCTGCTTATCCCACCTATACTTCCTGCCTGGCTACTGGTCAATCAGCGTTTTATTAAACCAGTGCACAAAAGCATTATCCCACAGCAAAAAAGTTTGTGTGTGGTGGCATGGAGTGCTGGGAGACGGAGGCAGGGGGATCCCAGCAGCTCACTGGCCATGCCTGTCTAGCTCCAGATTCAGCGAGACACTCTGTCTCAAAAATAAAGAGAGAGTGATAGAGGCACTCTGGCTTGCACACTTCATTCATGGCCACTTGCACAATACACACCAAGAAAGAGGAAAAAGAGCAGAGACAAGCGACAGAGCAAACAGCGAACTTGGCAGATAGTTTCCAGCATGACCACTGGGCTAAAATGGTCACCTGACTCGGGTGACGCGCCCTGGCACACTGCGCCTCTGTAGGGTGTGCTAATAGCAAACGTTGTGCATCAAGACAATGTGGATAGGCATCAGCCATCTTGTTCATACACAATACTCCATCCTCTGTAGAAGAGTGTGATGGGATTGGTGGTCACAGATGAGCCCCTGCAGTGAGGTGGGGTGCGAAGACGTCCTCTAAGGATAAAGTGGCTTTCCAAACCTAATCTGCTTCCTGTCCTTCAGGAGCTGCCTCATCGCTTCAGACCAAAACATGGGCGTGTGTATGTATGTGTGCGTGCCTGTGTGCATGCACACGTGATGTCCTAGGCCAAAAGAACCTAACCAAGCTTTACCCTGTTCACTTACCGATGAAATCACACTCTTAAGTGACCATAAAAAGTGCACGTTTGAATTGGGGATGCGGCTCAGTTGGTATCGTGCTTGCTTAGTGTGCATGAGGCTGGGCTCAGTCCTCAGAACCTCGGAAGGCCAGGCATGCTGGTGCCAGTCTGTAATCGCAATACTGGGAAGGGGAGGTAGAAAGATCCGAAGTTCAAGGTTGTATCTGGCAGCCTGGGCGACAGTGAAACCCTGTCTCAAAAAAAGAAAGAGGGGGGAAAAAAAAAGCTGTGTGTGATGGCACACCCCTTTAGTCATAGCACTTGGGAGGCAGAAGCAGGTGGATCTCTGTGAGTTCAAGGTCAGTCTACATAGTGAATTCCAGGACAGCCAGGACTACACAGAGAAATCCTGACTTTAAAAAAAAAAAAAAAAAAAGTTTAACAGTAGGCAAATTGAAAGGGTTTGTGGTTTCTGTTCCTCTTTGCTTATCTCTGTTTTCTGCAATGAGACCGTATTTGTGAATTAAATCCATATGAAAAGCTAATGAGGGGCTGGTGAGCCGGCTCAGCAGGTGAAGGCCCTTGCCGCCAAGCCTGGCAGTCTGAATTAGATCCCCACGACCCACTGGGTGGAAAGAGAGCCGACTCCAGCCGCTGGTCCTCTGACCTCCACGTGGGTACCCTGGCATGCATACACACACAGACAGATAAACGCAATGAACTTTCTTTAAATCAACGAAAAGGCAGGCACATGTGTTCTTCTCCTCCTAGTCTTGGGCCGGTCCTCTGCTCCTTGTCTGCATTCTCACCAGACCCTCCCAGCCTCTGCTCAGATGAGCTGCCAAAACTCAGCAGTTTTCAATTTTTTGGAAGAGATTTTTGGAAAAGATTTACTTCCTCGTTCTTGAACTTCTAAAAACAGCCCACTTTTTCATCTGCCCCCCGGCATGCGATGACAGACGCTACACCTGCCTCTGACGCGACAGAACCTAAGTGAGGAATAAAAGCCTGTCATGATTCTCGCACTTTCTGTGGCAGGCAAAGCTAGGGGTGTGGGACCACGGGAAGATGAGCTGTGGGGTGTCACCTTGCCTCAGGCATCCTTGTCCTAGCCACGGCACACAGCAAGATCTCATCCGCTGACCTTTGATGTGTTGCTCTGTCCTTTCAGATTTTTGACAATGAAGCCAAAGACCTGGAAAGAGAAGTGTGTTTTATCGATATAGCCTGTGATGAAATTCCGGAACGCTACTACAAAGAATCTGAGGTAAGTGATCCAAGTGGAAGAATTATGTGTCCATTCACTCATTCATTCATTCATTCATTCATTCCACAGTGATTTGTGAAGCACTTCCTACCCTAGGACCCTTCCATCTATCTTTATGTTCACTTGGTTTAGTATTGACATCTCACTGGGTTCTTGAAGGTTGATTTTTTTTTTTTTAATTTAATGTGTGTAGATGTTTTCTGTCTACCAAATGCATGCAGTGCCTGCAGAGGCCAAAAGAGGGCATCAGATCCCCCGAAGCTGTAGTTACTGATGGTTGTAAGCTGCCATGGGGATGCTGGAAATTGAACCCAGATGCTCTGGAAGATCAGCCAGCACTCTTAACCACTGAACCATCTTTCTAGCCATCGCTGGGCAAGTCTCCAAATGAAGTCCTTGAGCCCGTCACTAAACCACCCCCAAACCCCCCCACTCCCAACTCTGTCACCATCCCACTTGACATCGGGACCCCTGGGGCTAAGCATTCAACACGCTGGCTTTTCTGAACACAGCAGCCTGTCTGTGTGAGGACGCAGACAGCATTTCATTTCTGTCTTTGGAATTTAACATAAAGAAAATCCTCAATCAAGCCTCAAAACTTTGATGGCTCCTGTTGGCCCAGAAACCATCCTCTCAAAATAGCAGGCACCTTCCTGAGGGCTTCTCTTCTTAGCTGAGAACACATGAACCAGAACATCTTCCCCTCTGGCGCGTCCCCTACCAGAATCTGCCCTCTGCCTTGCTACTCCCTCTTTATGTCACTGTTGGTGCCAGCCATCATTTATATCCTGTTAGTGTCTTATTAGTGGCTGCTGATGGAACTTGAGTGCCCGGCCCTGGGATGACAACAGACACAGGGCTATTTTTGTTTAGCTACATGCAGCCACTCATAGTATGTTTAGACTCAGGACCCCAGACTTGTCCTTGAACTATACCACATGGACCTTGAAGCTCTTCCCTCGGCTTCATTAAGGCTGATTGAAGATGTCATGCATAAACCCAGTGAAAGTAAATTCTGGGACACTGAGACAGTTGTGCAGTTAAAGGTGCTTGCAGCCAAGCCTCGGCACCTTGAGTTCAATCCCCAGGACCTGCATGTTGGATGTACAAAGAGACTCCCACAAGTTGTCCTCTGATCGCCATACACACACATAAGTCAGTAAATAAATAAATAAGTAACATAAAGAAATGTTTTAAAAAATCTTAAGCATGAGTTCCAGTAGGTTACACACTGGACTGTCTTGTGATTTAGATCTTTACCTCCCTAGTGGGGGACTTGTTTGGTTAGAAAAGCCTTACTTGGTTTTAGCAGTTACCCACCTGATTCGCTGCAGGCTGGAGTTCACGGGCTTTGGTTCCTCAAAAGGCTGGGGAAAGGCCAGTTTGAGTCACTCTCTGTCACACGCATTCATCCAAAGCCTAAGCATATTGGTGTCGTCAGCTTTATTAGACTCTCTAGCCAGCCATACCTGTGTGCTTTAAGGAAAACAAAGTTGGGGCTGGAGAGGTGGCTTGGCAATTAAAAGCCCTGATGGCTCTTCCAGAGGACCAGGGTTCTATTCCAGCACCCACATGTGCTGGCTAACCACCCTCTGTTGTAACTTCAGTTACAGGTCTGACGCCCTCTTCTGGCCTCTACAAGCACTGCGTGCATGTAAAGTATAGACATGCATGCTGACAAAACACCCAGACACATAAAATAATAAATAAATCTCAAAAAAAATTTAAAGATATGTTTTTGTATGCATGGGAGGTCGAGGCAGGAGGACTTTGGGGACAGCCTGGACATTGTAAGTAGACCTTTTCTCAATCACACCAGAAGTGGGAGGCAGAGGGGAAGCAGGAATGTGGGGAGGGGGGTGAATACATGAAATGAAAAGGAAACTTTGGGGGTTTTGTTAGCTTTTTCTTGCATTTTGTGGTATATTGTACATGCCATAGCAAACACGTGGAGGTCAGAGAAAACTTTTTCGTCTGTTTTGTTGTGTTTTGTTTGAGACAGGGTCTTTTTCTTTCTTTCTTTTTTTTTTTTTT